CGTTTAATACCCATTATTGGCAGTTATGGGGGGAATAGGCACACTTCCATGTGCCCATTGGTAAAAGGATAGTTGCTGCCCTTTTGAGAGGTGATTTGGCATTATTGATCAAAATGAAAAACTTGCCCTGCCCACGTGGCTCAGCGGTTGAGCATCAACCCGTGATCCAGGAGATCATGGTTCGATTCCTGATCAGGGCACAAACCTGGGTTGCGGGCTGGTTCCCCAGTGGGGGCCGTGCAGGAGACAGCCCATCAGTGACTCTCTCATCATTGATGTTTCTATCTCTCTCCCTCTCCCTTCCTCTCTCTGAAATCAATAAAGACATATTTTTTTAAAAAAACTAGGAGGAACTGCTATGACTGTTTAAACTGTTCCCTGCCTTGGTATCCATTGGGGACTGCTGAAGTACATGGTCACACAGCCACTCATGGGATCCTGTGAAGCTGGAAAGGATAAAAGTAGGTACTCAAGTTTGTGTCGCTGTGGAAGGCTTTTAAGGTGTATTAAATACATTTTAAAAGCAGAGAATAGAACAGTTATGTAGATAAGATGTTTACAGTTTTCTCTGAAAGAACACCCACAACTCTTACCAGTGGTTATCTTTGGGAAGAGGGACAGGGAAGAGCTCTGCTGCTCATTTTCTATTTCCCTCTACTGGAACTTGAAGTTTGGCCATATGCATGTATTTTATTTTAAAGGTAAAGTAATTAGACATTGATGTACCTTAGGTGTAGGCCTGCTGGCATTCCATGCAGGGGAGATAACAAGACCTGTAAGAAACCAGTGAGTAGTCTATGCTTGGAAATTGCTGGTACAAAGCTGTGGAGGATTGTATTCGAACTTGATGTCTCTGTAAGAGGCTGAACTCCATAAATCAGGTCATTGGGTGTAAAACTTGTAATTTTTAATGTCTTTTTCTCCCTTTAGTCTGGTAATGTACCTAGGACTTAAATTCCCTGCAAATTCCCCGGGTGCCAGCCTCTTACTCTGGAGCGATGCTTGTTAACAGCTCTAGCAGGAGCTGGAATCTCGGTGTCACTGCCAAGGACGCGTTAATGTGAAGGAGAGGAGAGGGAAGCACTTCCTTTCTCCCCTTGCAGGAAAGTGGAATCCCCCCCCTAGGTGTTAATCATGGTCTTTCGTTTTTCTCTGCAGTGGTTTTCTTTTTCCAGGTGTAGCTCTCTGCTTTTCTTCCGAGAAGGTAAAAGCCACACAGAGGAGGTGGAAGCCTCCCAGTAAAACTGTTTGCAGTTTTACAGACTTGTAAATACTCCATTACTTTCCTTTTTCTGCTGGTTTCCCCCCAAGACTCTGTACCTTTAAAATAAACTCACCTTCTTTTTGACCTTTAATTCCCAAAGTCACTGTTGACACACCCTTGTGTTTGGACACTTGGTAAGTGCCAGGCCGCATCTGTGTTTCTAGAAGGCAGTCTGGTATAGACATGAGCACAACCTCTGGAGCCAGACTGAGTTCATCTATTAGCAATGGGACCTTTGGCAATTGTCTTAACTGCTTGTCCTTTTTCTTCATCTATAAAATGGGAATAATTGTAGTATTTCCGTCACAGAGTTCATAAGAGGATCAAATCAATTAATATATAGAAAAGCTGTTTAGCGCAAGGTAAGGACTCATTATATGTCAACTATTATGCACATTCATTGCATGAATTTCCCTCATTTAATTATGAAGCAGTTGTGTTGGGAAGTAGTTCTTCCAAGACCTTTTTAGATAAGGAAATCAGTTAACTGACTTGTCCAAGGCCACATAGCTATTTAAATTTTCATTGTTGTTATTTTTATCAGAAAGTGGTAGAGCCAGGATTCACATCCAAGTCTAACTTCAGAGCATTTTCTTTATTACACCACCCTGTCTCCCTAAAGAGTCTATAATAGCTAACCTAGATTACCATGTGCCAAGCAGCCATTGTGCTAAAGCTTCCAGCTTCCTACATAAAGGCCTCATAACAACCCATGAGGTAAGGACTAGTATTCCTGTTTTACAGATAAGAAAACTGAGACTCAGAAAGGTTATAAAGTACCTTGCCCAAGGTTTTACAAGTGGAAAGCAGGTATCATTTGAACACAGATCTGACTCCAAATTTATGTTCCTAATGGTTTTATTATGATATTTTTCTATCTTTTAAAAACTGGATGAGATGTTTTAAAAATTTTTTAATGTTTCTTATTTTTAATAAGTGATACATTCACATAGTTTAGAAATTTTAAGAATCTAACAGGATTCACTGAAAGCTAATAGACCTTCCATCTACCCTGTTCCCCTTATAAGAGGCAGTTAAGGTTTTATTACATCACTCCTGAAATATTCTGAGCATGTCCATATACTACGTATATATTGACACAGTGGTGTGTATATTTTCATATCGCTTTGTACAAATAGCATATATACTATACTATTCTGCACCTCACCCTTTTCATTCAGTGATATATTATGGTGATTGTTGCATGTCAGTACTAAAGAGCTTCCTCATTTATTTTTTGTGGCTGTATAATTGTCTTTAGTATGGATATACCATAATTTATTAACTGGGCTCCTCTCGCTAGGCATTTAGTTTGTTTTGATTCTTTTGTTGTTATGAACAGTGCTGTAGCAAATTCCTATGAAATTGCCCAGCCATAGGGGATGTGCATTTGTAATTTGGTGGATATTACTAAAATTGTCCTCCAAAGTATTTGTACCATTTTACATTCTTTCAGTATTATTTCTATGTATATTTAATGTCTGTATATGCATACATACTTTTAGAAATAACCTACTTTTATTACTACCTGATTTTTTAACAGCTTTATTGGGATATAATTTACACATAATAAAATTTACCCGTTTTATGTGTATAATTCAGTGATTTTTAATAATTTATAAAGTTGTACAACTGTCACCATAATCTGGTTTTAGACCATATCCTTTACCCAATAAGATCCCTCATGCTCATTTGCAGTTGATCTGTTACCTGATATTTTGCTGTATTAAGTATTTATTCAGCAAGTATTTAGTGAGTGTCTACTATATGCCAGGCAATAAGCTGGCAGATAACTAATAAAACAGATAAAAATCCCTGTCCTCGTGGGGCTTACATTTTGTGGAGCTAACTTTATATTCTTCTTTAAAAATCGTTTTAATAATAGTATTCGGCATACAGGTGCAGGTGCACTATACTTTAATAATTCCCTATTGTTGGGCAGTTAGGTTGTTTCAGTTGTTTTGCTTTGTAATTGAATATACTTATGGATAAATTCTTGTGCCTATATCCATGATTTTTTTATGGTACCAAGGGCTGTGTCAAGAGAAATGCCCATTTTTCTATAAATGCCTAATCACTATGTTGTACACCTGAAACTAATATAATATTGTATGTCAACTGTAATTGAAAAATTTTAAAAAAGAATTGTTTTAAAGAGAGAAATGCCCATTTTAAGGTTTCTGTTATATTTGCCTCCCAGAAGTGTATGAGAGCACCAGCTGGGTTGTGTTTTTAAGTCTTGCCAAGTTGAGAAAGAACAATTGTCTCCCTCGGTAATTTTTATTTCTAAGTTTTTACTCATAGTTAAATCTCTGTTTCTTCTTCTGGTATCTGTCTTTGTGTGCTTAAAAATACTTTCTCTAGAAGTTATTTTTGGATATGTGGTGAAGGGATCTGATTTTATTATTATTTATTTGTTTATTCAAACAGCATCTATTTTAAGAATTCTTCCTCACCCGAGGGTATTTTTTCCATTGATTTTTAGAGAGAGTGGAAGGGGGTGAGAGAGACAGAGAGGGCGGGGAGAGAGACATCGATGTGAGAGACACGTCGATTGGCTGCCTCTCCCACAGCCCAGGTATGTGCCTTTGACCAGGAATTGAACCTACAACCCTTCATTGCGTGGGCTGACACTAACCACTGAGCAGTACTGGCCAGGGCAAGAATTCTCCCTTTTTCACAGTTGGAAATGACCCACGAGGCCCATTCTTGTCTGATTCCCATGTGGCCTTGCTCTCCCCCATGTTCCTCGTCCCAGCTGTGCGATGACATTTCCTCCTTTCGCTGCTCAGGCTTTCATCTCTGTACGTGCGATTCCTTCTGTCTGGAAAACTGAATGTTTCCCAGCAGCATCCCTTCCCCCTTTAGATAGGTCTCAGATGAAATATCATGTATTTGAGTGGCCTTCTCTGACCACTCCCCATTATGAAAGATCTCATAGCTTTCCTCACAATTTATAACGAGAGTTGTAGCTGCCCTGGCACATCGAAGACACTCAGTACATACTTACCAAATAAATTATAGCCTACTTGTATATTTTGACATCTATATTTGGCTGTATTTTCTTTTTCTTTTCTTTTTTAAATTTATTGATGAGAGAGAGAGAGAGAGAGAAACATTGGTTTGTTGTTCCACTAACTCATGTATTCATTGATTGCTTCTTGTATGTGCCTTGACCACACATTGAACCTGCAACCTTGACCTTTCCAAATAACGCTGTAACCCACTGAGCTACCAGGCCAGGACTGTTTTTCTTTTTCTAAAATGTCTTTGGGCCCAGCCGGGCATGGCTCAGCAGTTGAGTGTTGACCTAGGATCCAGGAGATCGGGGTTCGATTCCCGGTCAGGGCACATGCCCGGGTTGTGGGCTGCAGCCATCAGTGACTCTCTCATCATTGATATTTCTGTCTCTCTCTCTCCCTCTCCCTTCCTCTCTCTGAAATCAATAAAGATATATTTAAAAATAAATAAATAAATAAATAAATAGTAAAATGTCTTTGGTATTGCCCTAGCCAGGTGGCTCAGTTGGTCGGAGCGTCTTCCCGTGCACCAAAAGGTTGCAGGTTTGATCCATGGTCAGGGCACATACCAGGTTGTGTGGGTTCAATCCTTGGTTGGGGCATGTACAAGAAGCAACTAATCGATGTTTCTCTCTCTCATTATGATGTGTTTTTCTTTCTCTCCCCCTCCCTCTTCTTCTCCTTCTCCCTCCCTGTCCTCTCTCTCTCTGTGTCTCTCTCCCTTCCCCCCTAAAAATCAATAAAAATATGTCCTTGGGTGAGGATTTAAAAACAAACACACATCTTTGGTATTTATTCTCGTAGATCTACACTGTCTAGTATGGTAGCCACTAGCCACATGTGGCTCTTGAGCATTTGAAATGTGGTTGTTCAAACATGTAAATAACTTCCTAATATTGATTACATGTTGAAATGATAATGTTTTAGATATACTGTATTGGGTAAAATAAAATGTATTAAATTTTTATATTTTGAACATTGTAACTGCTAGAACACATTACATGTATAGCTTGCATATGTGTAATTACACATATTTATTGGACAGCAGTGTTTGAGAATAATTTTCAAATCATTTTGTCAAGTTTCTAAGAAAATATTCCATTGCACTGCATTATATTTATAGATTAATTTTTTAGGGAAAGTATCCATCTTTATAGTGTTGAATTTTCTTTCCAGGAGCATATGTGTCTTCATTTAAACATGTTTTAGTTCTTATCAACGTCTTACAGTTTTCTTGTTGGAGATCCCGACTATTTTTTGTTTTTCCCCTAGGTGTTGTATAATTTCTGATACTATTGTTGGTTGTAACTTGTCATTATCTTACCTAACTGGCTTTTTATGTACCTTTTTGAAACCCTTTACTTATTAGATCTTGATTCTAACAGATTTTTCAAGTTGATCATCTTATGTTTTCTATATAAATAATATCTGCCTTGAATAGTAATTTTGCTTCCTCTTTTTTAATGGCTATATGCCTTAATTTTCTCTTTGTCTTGTTGCTTTGGCTGGAACTTCCAGAGCAGTATTAAGTATGGGAAGTGATGGGCAGACAGCCTTGTATCCTCCCAGGCACTAATGGGAATGCCTTCGCAAAAGTGTTTACCAGAGTGTACACCAGAGAACACTAATTCTTTGGAATATTAATATCTGTACCTTGAGAGAAGAGTTTCACGCTTAAATGCATTTGCAGACTACTGAGTTAAATGGAATTCTTGTCTCCAGGACTTTTCAGATGGGTTATTCTGCTAATATGTTTTTAAGCCCTGGGAGGTAGGGATACTGAGGCTAACTCATGGACGTGCTCTACTAAATGCACTGTGGGAAGTGCAGATATGTTCCTTTTTAAGGATGATGTTGCTGTTAGTTTGCAGTAGATACTGTTAATATATTAAGAAAATATCGTTCTATTCCTAGCTTATTGAGTATTTCGTCCGTATTTAAAAGGGCATTTAGCTTTCTGAAATGCATTTTGGCATTGTATTGATTTGGCCATATGGTTTTTCTCCTTTGATTTACTGATGCTGCAAATCATATTGGTATATTTCCTAACATACAACCATCTTTACATTTGGTCGTACTATGTAATTCTTTTAATGGGTTATATTTGCTAGTATTTCCTTTAGGACTTTCAAATCTGCTTACTTAGTAAAGTCAACAGTTTTCTTCTTTGTGCTGTTTGCCGTCTTGTAGTATCAGATTCATGCCATATGAATCGAAACACTTTAAATGTTTTAACATGCATCTAGAAGAGTGTGAATGGCCTGAAGATTGTTTGTGCTTTGGTACTTCTGTTTCCTTTGTATTTAATTTTGCCTATTTATTCTAAAAATATGTTCATTCGTACAGATTTCACATTGATTTAAATCATAAATCTAAAATAAATAAGGACGCAGTATTAACTGAAATGTTTCAACTCAAATTCTGACATGATAAAAACAATTCTGATGTGATCTAGTCACACTAACCAATTGATCCTTCTCTGCAAGAGTCTTAGATTTAGTGGCACTTTATTGTTTAATGATAAAACATTTTAAGGCACTGACTCTCCCTGTTAAATTTTGTTGTTGTTTCAAGACCCTCAACACTTCATTATGAAAAATTTCAAACATACAGAAAAGTTGGATTTTATAGTAAACACCTATATATCCACCACCTAGACAAGTGTAGGCTTGTTAACATTTCACTCTGTTTGCTTTATCACTTATCTAGTCATCTCTTTTTCTGGATGCGTTCTCAAGTAAGTTGAAGACATAGTAAACTTCACTCCTGAAGTTGCCTCCTTAGCTCAGCAGGCAGTGTGTCAGTCTCATAAGCCCTTCTTACTACAGATTTGATGTGATATTTTAAATTTTCTAAATAGTTTTATTCATTTTTTATTCTGTTTTTGATTCAGTACTTGTCCAGGAGGTGTTTATATTTCTATTGGTTGGGTTTTAAAAACTAAAATAGTTAGGTCTAATTTTGTTGTATTTGGCCAGAGAATGTAGCCTGGGCTGTATCCCCTTCCGTGGTGTGGATGATTCGCTGCTGCGGATTCTAGGCAAGGGGCGCCAGGCTGTGCTAGGTGTGCCAGTGCTGTGAGCACCCGTGGAGGACCATACACTTGTGAGGTCTGGCGCTCATTTTGCTTTAAAAATGTCCATGAGTATATTTAGTCCGTGCCAAATGGTCAAGGACCAAATGTCTCCATGGATGTGTTAGGACCAAATGTCCGCTAATCTTAAAAACTCGTCACTGAAGGGGACTGAGTATTGCTGCATGGGTGAGCAACTCCAAAAGATATAAAGGTGTGCAGAGCTGAAGGGAAATGCACATCAAGACAGCATCTCAGATTCTAAACTAAAAAGGGTTCAGCTCTATTCATAGTATGCGGTAATGCTGTATATTGAAAAATACCAATTGAAAATACACAAATTAGGTAGAACATTCTTTAGATGAATTTCCTTATTGTTACAAAGTAAAGATCCTCAAAACTAGGTGAGACAGGGAAATATTTTTCCTAAAATAATACCAAATTCTCAATCAGAGCTGAAATGGCCTTACTATGTATAACGTGTTTTAATTTTGATCAAGATGAAAGTTAGGCATTTAGGACACTAGGCTAATTGATCATTTGGTTATTTGACTTTAGGTGAATTAACCAAGACATGAAAGACTGAAAATAAGTAAGAGGAGGAATGCTCCGGCAGACCCTAGAAGGTACAGTAGCTACAGTGGTGGTGGTGGTATTTTGCCAGCTTGTGCTTCTGCTGCTTGTACTTGGTGAGGGGTCATTGGTGAATTATGAAACTCTCTTTTTCTGCAGATTACGCCTCATGTCAGTAGAAATGGACAGCAGCAGTTTTATTCAGTTTGATGTGCCCGAGTACAGCAGCACCGTTCTGAGCCAGCTAAATGAACTCCGCCTACAAGGGAAACTATGTGACATCATTGTCCACATTCAGGGTCAGCCATTTCGAGCCCACAAAGCAGTCCTTGCTGCCAGCTCCCCATATTTCCGGGACCATTCAGCATTAAGTACCATGAGTGGCTTGTCAATATCAGTGATTAAAAATCCCAATGTGTTTGAACAGTTGCTTTCATTTTGTTACACTGGAAGAATGTCCTTGCAGCTGAAGGATGTTGTCAGTTTTCTGACGGCAGCTAGCTTTCTTCAGATGCAGTGTGTCATCGATAAGTGCACGCAGATCCTAGAGAGCATCCATTCAAAAATCAGTGTTGGAGATGTTGACTCTGTTACCGTTGGTGCTGAAGAGACTCCAGAGAGTCGGAATGGAGTTAAAGACGGCAGCTTCTTTGCCAACCCTGTTGAGATCTCTCCCCCGTATTGCTCTCAGGTACGGCAGCCCACCACAAGCAGTGATCTTCGAATGGAAACGACGCCCAGCAAAGCTTTGCGCAGCCGCCTACAGGAAGAGGGCCACTCGGACCGAGGGAGCAGCGGGAGCGTTTCTGAGTATGAGATTCAGATAGAGGGGGACCATGATCAAGGGGACCTGCTGGTGAGGGAGAGCCAGATCACTGAGGTGAAGGTGAAGATGGAGAAGTCCGACCGGCCCAGCTGCTCGGACAGCTCCTCCCTGGGAGACGATGGCTACCACACTGAGATGGTTGACGGGGAGCAAGTCATGGCGGTGAGTGTGGGTTCCTATGGCTCTGTGCTCCAGCACGCGTATTCCTATTCCCAGGCAGCCTCACAGCCAACCAGCGTGTCAGAAGCTTTTGGAAGTTTGAGTAACTCCAGCCCATCCAGGTCCATGCTGAGCTGTTTCCGAGGAGGGCGTGCCCGCCAAAAGCGGGGTTTGTCTGTCCATCTGCACAGTGATCTGCAGAGCTTGGTGCAGGGTTCAGACAGTGAAGCTGTGATGAATAACCCTGGGTATGAGAGCAGCCCCCGCGAGAGGAGCACAAGAGGTCACTGGTACCCGTATAACGAGAGGCTGATCTGTATTTACTGTGGAAAGTCCTTCAACCAGAAAGGAAGCCTTGACAGGCATATGCGACTCCACATGGGAATCACCCCCTTTGTGTGCAAGTTCTGCGGGAAGAAGTACACACGGAAGGACCAACTGGAGTACCACATCAGGGGCCACACTGATGACAAACCATTCCGCTGTGAGATCTGCGGGAAGTGCTTTCCATTCCAAGGTACCCTCAACCAGCACCTGCGGAAAAACCACCCGGGTGTAGCTGAAGTCAGGAGTCGCATTGAGTCCCCTGAGAGAACAGATGTGTACATGGAACAGAAACTAGAAAATGACGCATCGGCCTCCGAGATGGCCCTAGATTCCCGGATGGAAATGCACACAGTGTCTGATGCTCCTGATTAAGATGGTAAAGGAGTGCACCCAAACAAAGCACATTAATCAATGCATATTTGTGATTTGCTTTGTTGTAATCTTTAGTTTTCCTAACCATCTGGAAACCTCTTGGTCTCTTGGCAGTTTTTCTAAGGTTTCTGGAAGGAACGCTTCATTATGTTTATCCTTTCCCCGACCTCCCTTCCCCCAGGAGCTCAAAGCATGAAGGGCATCATATCCAGGGAAAATACAGGCTGACAGTATTCCTCTTTGGCTGAATTCTTAGTCCAGAATCTGCCAGCGATTTAGCTATGCCAACTAGTTGACCCTGTATTCTCTGCCAAGGGCGTGCTCTCGCTGGGCTGTCCTGCACTGGTCCCAGTGCATCTCTGTGGAAAGAGACGGGGGTGCCGTCAGCTGATACAAATGGGTAACCTTTTCTAATTTAAAATTACTTTTACGGAGTAGTTAGACAATTTATATATATATATAATAAAATGATTATTATATATATAGTATATATACATTCTCAAATTTGGTTTTATTCTGGTTGAGGTGAATGTAAGAGGAATATATAATTTAATACAATGTGAACAGGGCTTTTGACTCTGTCTCGTCCCTACCTAATATGTTATGGTTTTTCCCCTTTATTTCCCTTACAAAAGAATGTTAATAGGTTTTCATATATATTAATCATTGTGTCCAAAAGCAAGCAAAGCAAATCACAGTGTTCATAGCTCTGCTTCATAACAAATACATAAACCAAATGCCATAAGATGTATTCAACTCTAGTTGGAAACCATTTGGAATTTTTGTTAGTTGTCCAGTGTGTAAGCTGGATGACCCGTGGTGCTGACCTTTTTACATATTGTAGTGTTTTATTAGCCAACCCCAAAGGAGCAGTGGTTTTCAGTGTTTTTACTGGCCTCCGAATCTACCTTCATTCCGTACTGTAGAAACATACACACCAGGTAACTAAATCGAATCACTCTCTACCATGAGTTACTACTCGCACTAAAGGAAAGGGATTTGTAATTCTGTGTACAATATTCTCCAAGCAGTGTTGTGTGTGTTTTTTTTCTTTCTCTTTCAAACAGCCAGTTCAGGTGCACAGCAACTTTTTCTACATGCAGTTCCCAGGGAAACTGCAGAACTTGGAATTTGTACTTTTGTAAAGATATACTCTATGGGAATTACAAGCAATATATCTTAGTATTGTGTGTGCTAACGAGAGCCTCCATGGCTCTTCCACCTCAGTGTTCCCGCTTAAAGAAACCAACAGTTAAAAAGCCCTCTAAGATATTCTGTGTGTCACCAAATCTGTGTGTGTCACTAATTTTGTGGGTTTTTTTGTTTGTTTGTTTGTTTTGTCACGTGGTGCTATCTTTATGTTTTATATCTTTTAGGTCAGTATAGTTGTAGAAAATGTGAAATCTAATGGGAATAGTGAATTACAATTTTTCCCCTCTCTTGAGTTTATAGCTTGAAAAGAGACCTCAAAAGCATGTGCTGGCAAACACATTACTGTATAAAAACATACCTGAGTCCTATTTGAATAATGTGTTATCAGTGCTTTAGGAACTGTCTTCAGTTCTATATTTTGTTCACCATGGGCTTCTAGTAAACAAAACAGGCTTTACAAGATTGCTTGGTACTGTGTCCTCAGACAGTAATTTGGTGAACAATTGGGTGGTGAGTCTGTGCCGCAGGCCCCCAGTTGGGGGTCAGCACTCCCCGCTCTGCTTGAGAACCTGGGCTCTGAAACTCACCGGTGTGTCTCCGCAGGAGTGAGAAGACCAGCCTCAGGGCTAGGAGTTTAAGGAATACAAAAACAGCCATTTTGCTCCTTTGCCATGCTTTTTTGGCTCTCAGAATACCAAGAATGGCGGGGGTTGGGGATTATTTTTTTTTTGTGGGGTTCATTTTGAGAAAAAATGAGTCATTCAGGCCCTTGTGTGTGATAGTCCCCAGGGGTGGTAGCTGTGCGTGGCATCTCTTTAGCACACAGGCTCTGTCCACGTGTGAACTGCTGCGCTACACATCAGTGTTACTACGTACAGGTTACACTCGAGTCCTGCTGCTCCCGAGGAGCAGCTCTTGCTAAATCGGGTATATGGTATGCCTTTTCCTGTCAAACTGCCTAAGTAAGGGGCCTCTCCTCTCCCTGAAGCACTTGCTTAACTCCGGTCAGAGCCGTGTGCCTCGGGGAGGCTGGACCCCAAGTGTTTACCCACTTAAATATGTTCTGGGGTTTCAGGTAAATGTTTGCATTCTTTTTCCTTACATGAGTAAGTTTGGTTTTGATTTAAAAAAAATTTTTTTTTTAAGAATGAAATGCAAAAAAATTGTGTTGTGATACAAAATTATGTTTGTGACAAGAAATTCCCAAAGGACATGAGAGGTGAGGCTCAGGGAAGGAACCTCCTTTTCACTCAGGCTTGGGGCCTTCTGAGAGGTCTCCAGAGCATTCTGTGATGTATCAGACAAGGTGGGAGGGGAAGACACTTGGGCAAGCACCTCCAATGCCCTGGTTCTTGTCACGGTGTCTGTCTTACCCTTATTTACATGGAGTTCTTTGTATTTGTCAATTTGTTTAACTGGTTTGAGTTTACCAAAGAGTGACTTATCCAAAATTGTCTTTGACAAAAATATACATTGCTTTGATTGTACAGTTCAGGTTCAAACATTGTAATGGGACTGTTAAGGGGCAGAAAATTGATTGAGTTTCCCTCAAATAATCATGATTCCACAGTTTGCAAGTTCCACTTGCTCCCATTCATGTTGCTAACACTTTACCCTTTGCACTGCCAGCAGTGTTAAGAAAATTCTCAAGCCATAACACAGTACTGTAAGGGTCCGCAGGGCTTCGAGGGAGCGCAGGCCGGCGCGCGGCGGCCTCTCGGGCGCGCCTGCCTGGCGGGTGAGAGCCACTCCTTTCAGATCGGGCAGCAGCAATTACTTGTGCCTTGTCACATGAGGATGTGCCAGGAGGATTACCGTGACCACAGAACAGAAACATTCTCTCCCCGAAGTTCACCTCACGTCTCCGCAGACGAAGTATGCTGTGTAACTCCTTAGAGCAACTCTTTTTGGAAAGCAAAGTCCCTATTTCTGTACAGTTTTAGATTAGATGTTTCATTTATAACAAATGCAAAAATCAGTTAAGATAAAAGCGATATGTGAAGAAATCTTTTACAGTAAAATATATCCTGAGTTCATCTAGGTTTGTTCATAATTGAGTCTCTCCTTGAGCTACCTTTCCATACATAGACAATGTGAAGACAGTGACAGTGTCCTTTTCTATAGGGTTTTACCTGTTATTACAAACTGTGAAAACAAAGAATTTTATACTTTTACTGTTTGTGGTTCTAAACAGTTATTTTCCTTCTAATCAGTTCTCTACCCTCTAATTTCTACTAAAGCTGTAAATACATTTAGAAATTATATTTGTAAATACAGTATACGAAGACAGGTTAATTTTTTGGTCAGTGGAAAACCTCGCAGTTGGCTCTGCCTTGGCAGTTCGTGGTTTTTTTTAACAGCAGAGAAAGGATACTGTCAGTTCACTGTTAAGCAGAATATACTGTAGAACTAAATTGATCATTTAAAAATCTTCCAGAGCATGAGTAGATGTCCTTTCTAATGATAGCAGTTATAACCAAGTCTTTGTTTCCCCTTAGCCCAGACCATAGGCCTGCATATTTTTGTCTGTGGTTTTGTTTTTTTGTTTTTACAGCCTAGACTCTAGGAAGAATTTGCAGGAACACAAAACAAGGGCTGTGGGGGAAATCATCTATGTGAATGAGCTTTACTTTAAAGAAATCAGTGTGTTTTATTTTAACAACTTTTTCTATTAGTTACTGTGATTTCTGTTGTTGTCGTTGTTGTTATTGTTAAATTCTCTAATGGTTTCCTGTGAAGCCTCCACTGAAAGGGACTCAAATATGCAACACCTAAACTATTTTCCAAGGGCACACGCCCCTTGAATGGTGCTTCTAGACTGGTCAGGGTTATTTATTAAATTTTATATATGAAAGTATTGGGGAACTATGTAAAATCTTTATATGAAACTATCTAGTTCATAAATCATAGATTTCATATTACTCAGTGCAACTGAACTAAAAGTTCAGAAGAGTCATTCACATTGTTCCAAATTTGTAATGGTTGTCACACGCCACATACGTCGTCTTCAGTAAGTGCCAGAGTGTTTCCACTGTTTCTGCCCAGTGCTTGACCTCTCGGCCCGGAGGAGAACCTGTGTTCTCTGGGTCTGCACAGACAGGGCTGTGTAGTTCTTGATCAAGTCCTGGAGCGAGCCTCCCAGCAGATTCAGTAAACGGACCTCTTGCTGCCCCTCAGTGACAAGTATGCTGTGAATTCGACCATTGGACTTGCTGCCCAAGCCTTTGGTTGCTGCCCTGACTATAGTAAGAGGTAAACTTACCTGGTTTCTTTGAGAACACCATTTTCCTAATGTGAAAACCATCTCTCTCACCACTTTATTAGTAGGGCTAACGTTTTTTTCCGTTATAAATGGTTGAGCAATTTGAATGACTTAACAGTGTCATTATCTTGCAATATAAACTGGTAACCTCACAACTCCACACTTCATCACCACATGAAGTAAATGAAGCTAGCTAAGCGGATGCTGTATCGACTAGTAACTTGCCATTAAGGATTATTTTATAGCATGAATTTAAGACTATTTATTCAAATGATATTTTACTCTTGTATTCATTTTGTTTTAGATTTGTGACATGAATCTTTCAGTGCTGCTTAATTTTGTTCTGAATTCTTGTTTCTTGCTTGTAAATGGCTTTTTTATGGTATAAGTAAAGTCCATGGAAATTGCTGTTTGTAAATAAAAATGCTGCTAGAGCGAATGTGCTGTGGTGTCCCTCTGTGCTTGCCCCTTCGGGCCTCTGCGAGTTTCACTGTCTCGAACAATCATCTGCAGTGTCATAGTTTCTGTAACCACTGTTTTCGAAAGGTTGGGATTTCATAAAAAGCTCTTGTGCCACTATGGTGCTGGGAAGAGGGGAAAGAAGCTGGTCTGTTTCTGACCCTTCCCTTGTGTGGCAAAGACTGGATTTTCAGGGCCCCCGTGTGTACCCAGGCTTCCCCAGGACAAATCCCTGGTGAACCCTTTCCCCACGGCCTGTAGGTACCCCTTTGGTGGCCTTGATTGTGCCTTGTTCTGCCAGAGGGCTTGGAGCAGCATGTGCTGTTTCTGCGTCTCCAACTTCTCCTGGAGCCTGTAACTCCTCGTCAGGTTTCAGCTGAGCGAGGGAGCCCTTCCCTGCAGCAGACCTTCTAGGTCAGGCCCCTTTAACGGAGACTTGCATTGAGCGGTATTCCTGCCCTTCAGAACACTTATTTCAGTGGGTAATTATATATTGACTAGTGAGATTATTCAATTAATGTTTCTCCTAGCCTGTACCTTCCATGACAGAAGGGATCCTGACCGTCTCCCTCACCTGTATATCCTTAGCACAGGACCTGT